AACAGTCGAGACTAACAAGCCTCCCCCCATAAGTTGGCTCCTTTTCTTGAAAATTCCTGAATTCGGGGCGACCACCTCGGCCGTCCAGCATTCTTCGATGGTGTTAAAGCAGTCACAGCTTAGAGAGCTTACTTCCCCGTCGGTGGTTATAATAGGAGCTGCCTCGTATGGGCCAATAGGCCTTCTGCTGTTCTCATTATTACTACTATCCCCTACACCTTACTTTCCTCCTCAGCTCTCTCTTGCCTATTTATTGCCTGTCCCTACCTGTCCTCATCTTACGGGCTATTCATGCCCGTGCCACCTCTTGGGTGGCTTAATCTTTATCAATCAATGTCCTCATCACAATCGACTTGAGAATGGTCCAGGACGGACCGAAACGTCGTCGTCCCTTCAACTTCTAGTGTGTGGTCTGGTCAACAGTCACAGCTTACATGTTGCCACAGCCACTCCTCATTCATTGGCCTAGTTTTTTACAAGATCACGACCTGGTATCCTACTGTGCAATATTTCCTAGAAACTTAGCTGAGGAACGAATGCTATCTCTCACTATCACTGGTCGACTGACTCGGATCGTTTCTCATTCGCCAACTTTGAATTGCGTCTCTGAATCATCCTCTCTTATTGAATTCTTCCCGAAGATCTTAAGAAACTCTCTCTCCAACTGTCCTTAAATATATATTTTTCACGCATGCTAGACAATGACCACAGTAACTTATCACCATAAGAAGGTACCAATCCGGGAAGCCTATTTAGCACTATGTGGCAGGATATTCAGAAGGTCTTAAATATCTCTCCAGATTCCAAGACGAGAGCAAAACGAAATAAGGAGAGTGAAGCCAGCGGCATCGTACTCCACGATGAGTCCATCAAGAGAGCCACAGTGATGTGAACATTACATAGAAACATGGAGAGCTCGCAGGAATCATTAGGCCAGAGATATATTGAGTACTTTTTTCAAAAAAGGTTCACGTATGAAAAACACACAGTAGGTTTGGAGTTTACCAGACCCCGTCGCGTGTTATTAGACTAGTAAACCAGATAGTTTACTTCATAGATTTCCCTTTTATTCCAAACAAAGTAACGTCTGTTTACATCAATTACTCTCATAATATTCAGGACAGGAAACCCAATAACCACAATTAAATAAAAGCTAATTACTTGACTCACTTAGACTTATAACTACAAGAGAAGCGCTTCCATTACACATTGGCAGCGAGTCACGTGACTAACCGCTAGCGAATGCCTGCCAGGCGTACGACTCACCTGCATTTTGTATGTCTATTAGTAATATTTTTTATCAGATGCTCCTGAGAAAGCATCAAATTCCCACGCATCCAGTCGTATTACAAACGGAATCCTGGATGGCTTCATAGCTCTCACATTAAATATAAACATAACTGCGTATTTGACTTCTAAAAGATCTCGACCAAAACAAACCAATTTGAATGATCCACAGTGCCAAGGGAAAGCATTAGAGACCGTTCTGAACGGCTATGTAGTGTAAGCATGCGTGCAGCATGCGTTAAGCAGCATTGTCTCCAACAGCAGCATAATCAGCCACACAGCCTCCATGGAACACGCGCTACGGTTAACACTGCCGGACCCAGCTCACTAATATTCTAAATAGCCTAATGGTGGCCGGGTAAAAATAGCCACATACACAAAAAGGCACTATTTCTCGATGGCGCTGCGGTTGTCATTCCCCGCCGGTCAACTGTACGTCCCGGTGATGGTATTAGCGGTAATGAACACCCGGGCCGTCCTGACTAACTGGGTTTACACCGACCTCGCTCAGCTGGTGTTTCCGTATGGCCGCTGGTACACGCGCTATGCCACACCGCTTGCTGCGTCTCCCAGCCACCACAGTCTATGGCGCGATTTCTTTCAGTCTGTATCTATCTCTGTCTCCGCTTGTTCCTACCTCTGCTCGCCCCAGTCTTGTGGCGGTGAGACATTTATTTTGTTGCACCTATTGTCCATTCCCAGGAGAGAGGCCGTGTCGTCGGTCCTTAGTGGCGCATTTCCGAATGCCCAGGAAACGGTAAAGTCTTTCCCATTCAGATGTTGTCCACTGGTTACTTTTTTTATTACCATCTTCGCTGCCGCTGCTTCCTCCCTCGCCCCTCCCCCCCCTCTCTCTCTCTCTCTCTCTCTCTCTCTCTCTCTCTCTCTCTCTCTCTCTCTCTCTCTCTCTCTCTCTCTCTCTCTCCCTTCGGGGCCCGGCCACACGCCACTCCTGCAGTGACGTGTGGCCGAGTTAGGAGTCAGGCAAGGCTACTGGTTATGATCCAGGGACACGACAAACTAAGGGACGTTTTTCTAGTAGTCTGACTTCTTGCGATGAGCATGGGTTGGGGCTGGGTGGATGAGGGGGGGGGCTGACGGCTGGGTGGATGAGAGGGGCGAATGAGAGCGTACGTGCACGTGCGGGGTGAGGGGGGGTACTTGGAGAGAGGTGTGGATAAGGAAGAAAGGGGGGGTATATTTTCAGGGTGAGAGTAATAGAAAACGGAACAATCTTGAAGATAATATCGATATTCTACTGTAACTTTAAAAAGTACATGTCGCAGATTTTTTAATCAAGAGACATTGTCTTTAACCACCGGAGACTGGAAAGGCGGGGTCCTTGAACTGAAACGCCATCCTGTGAACACTTGTACGTCACTACGGTTAGGCGAGTTAAACACACACACACACGCCTTGTGAAACTGTGTGTGTGTGAGCGCGCGCGCGTGTGAAAGTGTGTGATAAGCATTGAACTCTGAAGCGGAAAAATTTCCAGTTACATTACATTGCGACTTTTGCCTTTTCTATTCATCCCAAGATATCGAATGAAATGGAATAGATATCATAAAGAAGAATGGAGAGAGAGAGAGAAAGAGAGAGAGAGAGAGAGAGAGAGAGAGAGAGAGAGAGAGAGAGAGAGAGAGAGAGAGAGAGAGAGAGAGAGAGAGAGAGAGAGAGAGAGAGAGAGAGAGAGAGAGAGAGAGAGAGAGAGAGAGAGAGAGAGAGAGAGAGAGAGAGAGAGAGAGAGAGAGAGAGAGAGAGAGAGAGAGAGAGAGAGAGAGAGAGAGAGAGAGAGAGAGAGAGAGAGAGAGAGAGAGAGAGAGAGAGAGAGAGAGAGAGAGAGAGAGAGAGAGAGAGAGAGAGAGAGAGAGAGAGAGAGAGAGAGAGAGAGAGAGAGAGAGAGAGAGAGAAACACCAAAAGAATTTCTAAGAATGAAGCTAGCCAACCCTTAGTTCAGAGCTACCCGTCCACCCTACATATTAAGAAAGTTAATCTTTCTTCTCACAAAAGAATCCTTCGCAGTCATACATGTATCATCTCTCAGTAGGAGGAGCATAGAGGGAAAAACTGCAGTGGGATGATTGAGCTTCAGAATCTGGGGCTCCCCCATCATAGTCAGGATGTTCATCCCTGGACTCAGTCCCAAAAACCGAGTCTGCAAGCTGGATCTGTTGCAACCAGTAAACTAACGAAAGGTTAATGAGACCCAGTTTGTCAGCCAAGTCGCAGATCCGGAAAGAATCGTGGCTAACCGTAAGATCTTTGTCAACATTATGTGTAGTGACGATAAAATAGAAAGACTGGCATCTTTTCCCCGGTTCTTTATACACTGGAAAGACAAATGAATCGGACAAGATCTGAATAGAAACAGTTATGTGGTCTGTTGAATAGAATCTTGACATTTCTCAATATCCTCTTCCAAAAGCAAAGGAAAAAATGTTTCTCTCTGTGGAAGAAGGATGGTGTATTTCCAAGCCCAAGAGGATCATCAGTTCGGTAATCATCATCCGTAAACAAATATTGCTGATAATATCCATTGGCAAAAATTCTTGTAACGTATTCTGACAAATATAATTTGTCACATTATTGTGACAAATACAATTTAACAAACATAATTCGTCACCGAGGCAGCTATTACGTCCGTGTGAAACTTTATCATATTGTATTAGGTTGATAATACAACGGTTTCAATTATATCGTTGTAATTATGAACTGTCGATGAACGATGTCTAGTCATATTTATAATATGGCTAGACATCGAAGCAGTTTGTACTATATATATATTATGTGTAGAAAGACTTTTCCATCTGGCATAATGTTTGTAACTATACGAGTTCACAAAGATCAGAGACTGTGTGGAAAAGCTTAAAGTTCATAATGTGTGATAAAGTATACTAATGGAAAACTCATTGAATTTAAGGGTAAATGAAACCTGCTCCCAGACTTTTAAGCTCATCGCTGACTAGGCTACGCAACTAAACCCAGTTTCATAGCGCGTATTCAACCTTTATATCCCGAATTCCAGTAAATTAAAAAATAAATATTTACCCGTGGAACTAACAATGTTGCCGTACTTCTGAACATTAGAGGCGAAAATGGGTTTAGACTGACGGTCCCACTACCTGTTCCGCCGAGTTCTCATTTCGACAGTGTGCCAGTCTTGATAAAGGTCAACGCACAGATCAAAGTAGATAAAGTATCCGAATGAATTCACCCGCCGTTTTGATCGGCGATTTATAAACCACGCCCAATTATGTATTCTGTGCTGTTTTGGAAGAGCTTAACCCACCCAAAACCTCATCACCTTTAACCTTTTTCCCAAAAAATTGATATAATTCTGTTTCCTCCGGCAAGTCGTACCTATACATTATGAGCAGAATGAGATACGGGACTAATACAAGTATCACCCGGCTGGCTACCTCCACTCTGACTTCTCCCTCACCGTTACCTTCCGTTTCCAACAGTAGAGGTAACCACCTCAACTTGAAATAAAAAAAAAAGGTTTCCAATTACACCGGCTCTATTATTCAGTTTGTATTGGGAATCTGTCGTGCAGAACGGTGGCGGACGCTTTCTGACAGTCAAGGAAGACATGGTCAGCTCGCCCGTCTCTATGTCATTGTAATGTTAGCATTGTACTCTAATAGATTCTTAAGGCGTGAGCGTCCTTCCTTAGTGCACAATAGTGTTTGGAGACAACTGCGTAGCAATGAGAGAACATCCGTTCAGCAGTGAAAGACAACAACCATTCAGCAGTGAAAGACAACAACCCTTCAGCAGTGAAAGACAACAACCATTCAGCAGTGAAAGACAACAACCATTCAGCAGTGAAAGACAACAACCATTCAGCAGTGAAAGACAACAACCATTCAGCAGTGAAAGACAACAACCATTCAGCAGTGAAAGACAACAACCATTCAGCAGTGAAAGACAACAACCATTCAGCAGTGAAAGACAACAACCCTTCAGCAGTGAAAGACAACAACCCTTCAGCAGTGAAAGACAACAACCCTTCAGCAGTGAAAGACAACAACCGTTCAGCAGTGAAAGACAACAACCGTGTATAATTAATAAAACATTTAGGCAAACAAAATTTTTTAACATTTTCAACAAGGCATCGTGAGCGAATACAAAAGCCTCTCATCATTAATTCAGTAACTTTTTCTATATATTTGTATTATTTTTCACCATACTTGAATATATATATATATACCAAACTTTAATGTATTTCAACCAGTACACGTAGTGACAAATATACTTCACGTTTGCCCTTTCTTGAAGTTTTTATTCTTTAAACAAACTGGACACAAATAATGAATAGCCTAGGACCATTTAAGACCCTTCGCCTTACAACGAATTGTACTTTGGTTACCCCATGAATTATATACATTTTCTTTGATTCATGATAGGTTTTCGATGGGTAAATATGCTAAAAATGTAAATGTATACTTTTCATTATTAACAAGAAGGGACAATTGGTTGAGTATGTGCACTTGTTGGCGATTAAATGGTATATTTTTAGCCATTTACAGGGTTTCGGCCATTTACCAGGGTTTATTTTTTAGCCATTTACAGGTCTTAAAGCTAACCAAAAGTAAAAAGGCCAGATTCGAATTTGCAATGAATTTAAAATTAGGTCATACTCCATCTTGAATAAAAAGTATATATAATGGTAGGTATTTACTTGATGGCCACTAACACTAGTGGCCTCGACGTGGACAGGAAGCCGACGGCTTGTCAAAGGTATTTTCCCCCATTTGCCCTGATCTTTTCCAGATGGATTTTACAATTTAACAGTTTTGGCATTTACGGCCTCTGAAATAATGACAATTTGAGTTCACATAATTACTGTACTACATTATATTAATATACAAATGGTGATAAAGGAAATTATAATGATGATGTATTTGTAGATAGTAAAATACAACGAGAGTTGTTACACACATTCATAGAGTGAATAATATAATTCACTCAAATATGGCCGTCCCCGTGGCGTACTGGTAAGATATTCGCCAGGCGTTTCGCGAGCGCTTTGGCCTGGGTTCGTATCCTGGCCCGGGAAGATTTACTGGGCGTCAATCCTAAACTGTAGCCTCTGTCTACCCAACAGTAAAATGGGTATCTAGTTGTTAAATGATTCGGCGCGTCATATTCAGGAGAAAATTAGGATTAAGGGGCCACGGGTTCCCAAATTTCCAAAAATATGCAATAAGTGAAAACTAGTTCGATTTCAATCAAACTTTTTTGACTAGTCGTATATGAAAAGGGTTTCATCTGGTCCAAGTCTCAGCATCGTAGCATAAATAGGAGGGGAGGAAAAAATATTGAATTATGGGTCAAAAAAATTCCAAAATGGTCAAAAATTAACATCAAACACAAGTGTCAACTGAAATCATGTCTATGACTCTCAGCTATCACAATAGCATATACAGTACTAATTATTTTTAATAATTAGTTTTATTACAATTAACCCCCCCCCCCCCCCAAAAAAAAAAGAAAAAAAAAACTTTTTTTTTTTTCATTTTTTTCTTATTTGTTTATCAGACGATTTGCATGAAACTTATAAACCTGACTGCACATAAGCCTATCTGTAAGGGTGCCAATTTTGGAGGAAATTGGTTGATGTCAACCTCAGCCACAGATGGCAAACCTTTGGATTTTATTTTTTACTTTTATATTTTCAAGTAACATAAACGTTATCTCTACTCTTTCATTTTTTATTCAATTTACATGAAAATTAACATTATATGTAGGATTTATGTCTCTAAAATCTGTTGCTGCATTGTTTTCCTAAATCCATTTATTGATTTTATAAATATTTATAAACATCATTTTGTTGCATAATTTTTTAGGGAAACTTTGAACATTTGTATTATTGCACTAAATACATTTGGGATAGAAATCTGGCAACAAAACCTTTATTTTATGCTAATGTGATAGCTGAGTGTCATAGAAATGATTTCGGTTGACACTTGTGTTTGTAGTAACACGTTGAAAAATGTTGAAAAATCGTCTAAAAAACGTGTTTTTTTTTCTTTCTATTTAGGCTGCGATGCTGAAACTTTGGACCAGTTGCAGCCCTTTTTACATATAAAACGTCAATACATATTGATTGCACTAGAACAACTTTTAATAATCTAACCAATGCCCCCTTAAGGACCTGCCCGAAATGCTATGCTTGCTAGTGGCTGTACAAGAATATAAGAAATCTTGTATTTATAAATAAATAAATGTACGAAATAATAATATAATTCCTCTTCTAATAAATGATGACGATACTTATACAGAAATAACCAGTAAATACTTACCGGAACATTGTAGCTGAATACAATCCCCGTGACTGAATACACACTCCCCATGGCATACTGGTAAAGCACCCGCCCCGCGAGATGCTTTTGCCTGGGTTCGTATCCTGACTGGGTAGGACTGACTGGGCGCAAATCCAAAACTTTTTTTATTAAGATTAAGGACGTACCCAATTAAGGTCAGGTCTTAAAATTAGGATTAAGGACCTTTGGTGGTGGACGTTAAGGACCTGTTAGTGGCTTTACAAGAATGTAATAACTCTTGTATATATATAAGTCTCCGTGGTGTAGTGGTAAGACACTCGCCTGGCGTTCCGCGAGCGCTATGTCATGGGTTCGTATCCTGGCCGGGGAGGATTTACTGGGCGCAAATCCTTAACTGTAGCCTCTGTTTAACGCAACAGTAAAATGTGTACTTGGATGAAAAAACGATTCTTCGCGGCAGGGGATCGTATTCCAGGGACCATAGGATTAAGGACTTGCCCGAAACGCTACGCGTACTAGTGGCTGTACAAGAATGTAACAACTCTTGTATATATCTCAAAAAAAAAAATAAATAAATAAAAAAAGTACACTTCTAACACAACACCGATATTATATCAAATTACACACTTGCCTGCATGCTAGTAGTCAAAACAATACAACAATTTACATTACCTGTTAAATGGAGGACTGTGGTGATGTGTCGGGCTGCATGGTGACTATTAAGCCTCCGCGTAGTTTGGCATAACTACCACCGACGGCACTCACCAGAAACACAAACGAGTCTCAGAAATACAAGGAAATACTCGTTCCGGTATAAGTGGTCAACAAGAACTTACAACAAGCCACCCGCTGTCCACAAGGCCAGATTCGACAAACACACACATTTCCAAAGTCAGAATCGTTAAACTATAACACAACAGGGCATAAAAAAAAACTCTATAGACTTCACTTCCCCGTAGTTACTGATAAGCGCGGGCCGTCCACGGGTTTTACACACACACACACGTAAATAAATATGCAAATATATGGGAATATATGGGAAGATCCTTCCCCCGGCGGTGGACGATGCTTCAGAGACGTCGACTTTTTCCAAATCTCGAAAATGTAAACAAAACGACACGCTCGCCCCCCACCGACAGTTATGTGAACCACGTAATTATATTAATAATAAAGTTAATAATTTATTTACAATTAGGTTCTGTGGGTTTGTGAGATTACATAACATTGGTATTTTTACATTCTTGCAAAGCCACTAATATGTATAGCGTTTCAAGACGTCTATTAGGGGCGGGATCAACTAATTAGACTACTGTCGTTCAGTGCGTGAGGCAGCATTTGATAATAATAATAATAATAATAATAATAACAATAATGATAATTATTATTATTATTATTATTATTATTATTACTATTATTATTATTATTATAATAATAATAATATTAGTTTATTTAGAAAAAAGTACACATACAAAATGAGTTACAAGAAGAATGTTGAATTTCTAGAAGTGCTAGGATATACTATGTAGTTGGCTTCGTTCTCGACTCACAATCGCGGGTCCCGGGTTCGATTCATAGGTGGGAAAGATTTGGTTGGGCACATTTCCTTTCACCTAATGCTCCTATTCACCTAGCAAGTAAATAGGTACCCGTGAGTTAGGCAACATTTGTGGGGTTGCTTCCTGGGGGAAGGTCACTAGTCAGCTACCATATCGTGGATGATAAAAATTTTATTCACTCGGGCCATCAAAGCCTCGAACTACAGACCGCTCAGTCACTAGTTTCATTTGTTGATATGACTTTTCACTTTGAAAATTATATTTAACTGTAAATCTTGAACGTCCAATACGCTACAGAATTAAGATTTACTTGAAACGTTCCGCGTGTTAGTGGCTTAGTAAGAATATACCACTTAATCGCTAAACTTTGCAGTTGTACACCCCAGTGTACCTGTTTGTATAAATATTAATAACTAAAATATATAAATAATGGCATACTATGTCTATTTAGTGGAAAGATACAGCAGCGTACCCATGATCTGAAATACGTTTTCTCTGAAAGTTCTACGAAAGAAAATGGTTTAATGGGGGTAACATATTTATTATGTTACACTTCGGATCGCCTCTTCATAAAGTTTTTGCATAAATCATTAGGTGAAATTTTGATCGTACTCAATATCTGGACTTATTTTAATGCTAATACTGAGTAAAACGTCCATGACTGTACTTATTCAGATTCGTCATAACAAAGTCTAAATGATAATTATCTACTTGTAACAATAACACTAGAAGCCGTTCTGCAGATTTAATACTAAATTGGCTTTACAACTCATTTAATCAGTCAATTAGATGATATTTGGTCTTAAAGAAACAAAGGGGGGGGCTTTCATAAGCCGCCGGCTTCCTGTCCCCGTCGATGTCATTAGAGATAATAAATTCACGTGAAATTTACGTATGATATTGGTTATTATTAACATTATTATTATTAATACGATTTATTTTTTAGAGTTCGTAAACAAATTAAATAATATAAAGAACATCATTTAAAATTTGCATTGGTGCAGTTTACGGACGATATAATGCAAATTGTGTTAAATATGAATTGTTTTCAATCTTTAAAGAAATATTAACAGAATTTTGAATAAGAATAATTTTTCTTTTGACATATTGATGTTCTGTGCTCTAGTTTCTTGAACTGCATTTATTAATGGCATTAGTTTTATCAGCGATTTAGAAGAAAAAATGATTAGTTAAGAGAAAAAAAAAGTCCTAACATTATCATTACAACGTATAATAATATTGTTTTAATAATAACGTCCTAAATTATTATTACATATGATCCTTCATGACGACCATCACAACCCACTAAACACTTTGTATAATATCACCTAAACTTTATTATTATATACGTTACACTATTTACGAAACCTGTACATCTTTCCTGTCACAGCGGCTTCGTTTACACTTAATAAAGAGTTTATGAGCTCAGCGGCACTACGAGGGTGTTTGTAACAATAACAACTTAGGGTTGTGAAATTTCCAACCTCGTAAACTGTTTTATAAATGTCAAGAAAGCCGCTATGATTGTTGAAATGTGTTGTGAAATTTCCAACCTCGTAAACTGTTTTATAAATGTCAAGAAAGCCGCTATGATTGTTGAAATGTGCTCAGGTTGCGTAAGTGGTTGCAAAAATGTGTGATGAATCGTGTTCCTGCAACCAAGCAGCAACCTGCAACCAAGTTTATGGTTTAAAATTGTATTGTAAAATTATTATATTTTATCTTTTTCACAATTGTCCAAATTGAAAAATAAATGTTTCCATAATAAAGGCCTGTGCTTGTTTCGAGAGTTTATCTTAGGCCTGTGCTTGTTTTGAGAGTTCATCTAACTATACTCAAAGCAATTTTTCCTCGATGTTTAAATTTTACCTCTGGTAATTTTTTTCAGCTGATTTGCTTCTTAAATATTCAACTATAAACAAGTGTTTATATATATATTTTTTACATACAGTAATTCCTTAGTAGCACAGCAATAGTCTATGTTACATAAATTTGTGCATGCTAACTTGCAAATATATTCTGCATATATTTTAATATTTAGCTTTGAAATTACATATTATGCTTGGTCATACTTTGTAACATGAAATATATAACATTTGCTCCAAGGAGGGACGTAAGATGCCAGAGAAACACACTATCACCTTAGTGGTAAGTTTATTGTTACAGAGTTGCTGCTACCTGGACAACGCGGGACTGGAATGCACATTACAACACTGAAGCACAATTGTGTGGTTTATACACCCAAGGTGCTGATGGAGTGGTGATCAACACACTCAAGGTCCTGACGGAGTGGTGATCTACACACTCAAGATCCTGACGGTGTGATGATCTACACATCCCAAGGTGCTGACGGAGTGGTGATCTACACACCCAAGGTCCTGACGGAGTGGTGATCTACACACCCCAAGGTCCTGACGGAGTGGTGATCTATACATCCCAAGGTCCTGACGGAGTGGTGATCTACACATCCCAAGGTCCTGACAGAATGGTGATCTACACACCCAAGGTGCTGACGGAGTGATTATCTTAACCACACAAATTTTGTTGTAAAAACTTTTGGTGATCTGTGATACTTGTCTGGTTTCCTTTGTTGACTTCACAATTTTATGTAATGAACGTACTACTTAAATTTAATGTAGCTTGTGATTACTAACAAGAATAAACCAGATTTCCATGAATTTACATATTACAAGCACCAGTCTCCAAAATAACTCGCCAGAGAATAACTTTGTCTCTAATTGACCACACCATATCAAAGTCTGAAGTTTAAATTGACCTGGTGTATACTATACATCTGGATGTTCTGTATGTCAAGAATTTAACATCCAGTATCAATATGTTGAGTAGACATGGAAAAATCCACTGCAAAATGAACCATTATTTAGAATTCAAATGATCTATTTTGTTTATCTTGTCTTATGGCACAAAGAGAATATTATTGTTTTCAAATTGGGTTAAAATTATCAGATACTGTATTAACAATAAGATACTACAGTATAGTAAAGTATTTTTCAAATGCTCTAATATACTGTAGCTAATGTGGTGGAATAGATAATATTAATAAAAAGTATATATATATATATATATATATATATATATATATATATATATATATATATATATATATATATATATATATATATATATATATATATATATATATATATATATATATATCATAATTAAAGGTGATATCAGTTATATTTCTATACTTTTTAAGCATCACTGAAATATGATTCTTATATATTTAGAAATAAATTTTATGATTAGTGCTCCTCCTCGTAATGTGAATCACTTTTAACAACCTTTCGTCAGTCTTGCAGAAAACCACTGTACCGGCAGACCAATCTCACAAAACACTGTCAACCAGCCCCAATGACTAGATCTTTTAGGAACAGAAAGAAAGGAAGAGAGCTTGCTACAAAAGTCTGTGAAAAAGATAAATGTGTGTGATACATATACATACAGAACATGTATACATGTATCATCAACATCAAACATTTATAACACAAGTAATATGAATATAATATTACTGTATATACAGTCATATCTATCAATTCATTGTACAATTATACATAGAAGCTTATCATACAAAGCATAACACACCATTAGTGACACCATTGTACAGTGAAACGGCAGAACACCATATAGATTTTTGCGAATATACTGTTGAAGACAAACCACACAAGAGATACATTTTGACTGAAGCCAAAGCATTGATAGGGAACTGTACCAGCTGGTATCAGAACACAGTTACAGCTGATCAAAATATTATTGATAAAACAGCATTAGCTGGTATTGCTGTCTTGATACCTGGGCCAATTAATTTTCATTAATACACTTTTTCATCTTACATAATAATAAAAATGTATTTGTATTTTTCAGCAAGTTCTTAATGAAACATTAAAATTTTATAAAAAAATTTAGCATAAAACCTCAAATTAACTGACAGGCTAACATATGACAATACCTCAATACTCTTTCTTTACTGCAAAATGTGTTACATCTGCGGAAGATGTTCCTCTGCATAGAGAAGTCCCGCAGCCTTCCCTAATGTGACAAGCCATAATTCTCACCCCAGTACTCTCAATCTTGCTCTGCCTGCCACACAAATTTAAGCAAGTTAAAATGAGCATCTAATGCTTCAATTTTGTTGTTGCTTTCCATGCTCACTTGTGTTCTTTGCCTTGCCCAATGTTTTTGGTTTTAGGTACTACAGATGTTATGCACTGGTGCTAACCCACTGGTGCCTGAGGAACAGGCCGGGGTCACACTAACAAGTGTTTTTTTTTAGGCAGAGGTTGGTGGTGGTCCCCGGCCGTGTGGCGCTTTCTGGTGGTTGCTCCTTGTGCTGTGGAAGGGGCAGTGGATGCTGGGGATCCCTCTGCCTCAGAAACATCTACAGACTTTGTCTCTTCCTCCTCTTCATCGTCATCTCCAAGCAACCTTTTGACAGTGCTCGTTTCTTCCTCTCTTTTTCTCGTCAGATTTACCAGGGCATCCTTGTTGTCTTCACTGGCATCTGGGGATGGACTCCGAGACACATCACGAGAGTCAAACTCATGGTGATGATCATAAGGAGACTCATGACTGGGGTCTCCCACAAGGGCACGACGCAGCTGCAGTGGTTCAGGTGAATCCCAGGTAGAATCCCGTGGAACAAACATTCCATTGATTTCATATACATCTGACGTATATCTCAAAATACTTCGACGTTCCCGATCTGGTCTTGGGTGTGTGCTCCTTTCACCATCACTGGAGGATGAAGATGTGGGTGGTGGCGGTGGTGCTACAGGGCCAGAACAGGACTGGAGTACTGATCCTGAACTTGTTGGAACAGCCACAGGGCCATTGATTACAGAACCAGTGCGACAGGCTTCTTTACGGGGAGTCGTTCGTGGTCGTCCTGGTGGCTCTCTCTGTGGAGGTTGACGAGCCTCAGGCATATCATTGCGGGGTATGTAGGGGATGGGAATGGGGACCGGAATGGGAATGGGAATAGGGATGGGCAGAGGGCATGGAAGAAGCACAGTTATAGGAGGTAATAAGGATCCTTGGGTTTTGGGTGGCCCTGGAAGAGGTGGAGGAACTGCTGTGTGTGGTGTTGGTGTAGGTGGTGCTGGTGCAGGATGGCCCTGCAGTAGTGGGTGCCGCAGAGGCGGTGGACGCAATAACTCAGGGCGCTGAAGAAGCAGGTGTGGTAGCAGAGGTGTTCGGGGAAGGTCAGGAGGCAGCATGTGTGGCAGGAGCAGTGGTGCACCACCTACCATTGGCAGAAGACTGCCCAGTCCTCCACCCAGCCCACCAAGTGGCAGACCTGGGGGCTGAGCTGATGGGTGAGGTGAGACAGCCCTATTGCCTTCACCACCAACCTCACTGTTGCTGCCAATTTCCCGCTCTCCAGACATCTGATCTTGTTGCTGTTGTTGGGACTCCAATTGCCTTACACGAATAGTTGGCATACGAACTGGTTCGTCAGCCCTGTCGGCATCAGAGTGGCCAGCACGGGAGAGCTGGAGAGAAGCCCGTACTGTCCTGGATCTCCCCAGCTCTCGGGCACCCTCACGACGGTCCCTCAATCGTGGGCGCCCATAGCGAGGAGTTGGAGGCGGTGGACCAGGGCTTCTGGTCTCTACTGATCTTGATGGACCCTGACGAACTGTAACTGGTGATCCCCTGGAGAGTAAGGGTGAGGATCGATGCTCACTCCTGGAGGAGGACTGTGTGGTGGTGAGATTGACAGGCTCAGTGGGGTCTGGGGATGGCATGGGAGGTGTTGTAGTAGGAGGTTGCGGGGAGGACGGGGAGTCAACTTTGACCTCACTCTCTGGCAGGGAGTCCTGAAGAATTAGATAACACATCAGTAAGATATATCAATACCTGCTGTTCTATAACTGCATTCTAAAACAATGTAAGGATTTCACACTGCCTGTGATTAATGAAGGTTCTATTACAAAATTGTTATCAATATACTTATCAAATATTTCACTCATTCATATATACAGTTATTATTCCCTTCAACTGACTGTCAAGCTGTTCTCTCTCTCTCTCTCCTGTACCTTATTAGTGGCCTTTTCACCCTTTTAACGTCCTTGTGTTCTACATTCAGTAGTTCTACATTCTAAGCTCCTTATTAATCTGCTATTTCCTCCTTCTACCCCTATATTCTCTAAATTATATGTGTATAATTACTAGAGTTGAACTGCTGCCGCCTAAGGTGACTACTTGGTCAGCCAGAGTACATATGCTTGCAACACACCTGGAGAGGGTTTCTGAAGCTCTTCTACTCCCAGAGCGCAGCCTGGGGCCAGTTACACCTTTATCATACTTCATTTCTTAAAATGATGAAACTGACAGTGATAAATATACCAGACCCCAAATAAGTACTTGAATCAGACCATTTCAGGCACTGATTGATGAAATCAGGTTACATCAGTTACACATCAGGTAATTAGTCTCCTTAATGAGTTAATATGGCTAGTACGAATAAGGCATTTCCCACCTTAGCCTTCAAGTATGAATCATATATTGAAAAGCTTTAAAAAGAAACATATTCTTAGCATTAAATACATATGTCGGGTGACTCCACCCGTGACTTGTGGGCTCGAGGCCTCCCTGCTCTTGCTCTATGTTATCTCAAGAGTTTTCTACTTTTGGCATTTTCTCTCTCTCTCTCTCTCTCTTTCACTCTCTCTCTCTCTCTCTCTCTCTTTCACTCACTCTCTCTCTCTCTCTCTCTCTTCTCTCTCTCTCTCTCTCTCTCTCTCTCTCTCTCTCTCTCTCTCTCTCTCTCTCTCTCTCTCTCTCTCTCTCTCTCTCTCTCTCTCTCTCTCTCTCTCTCTCTCTCTCTCTCTCTCTCTCTCTCTCTCTCTCTCTCTCTCTCTCTCTCTCTCTCTCTTTCACTCTCTCTCTCTCTCTCTCTCTCTTTCACTCTCTCTCTCTCTCTCTCTCTCTCTCTCTCTCTCTCTCTCTCTCTCTCTCTCTCTCTCTCTCTCTCTCTCTCTCTCTCTCACTCTCACTCTCTCTCTCTCTCTCTCTTTCACTCTCTCTCTCTCTCTCTTTCACTCTCTCTCTCTCTCTCTCTCTCTCTCTCTCTCTCTCTCTCTCTCTCTCTCTCTCTCTCTCTCTCTCTCTCTCTCTCTCTCTCTTTCACTCACTCTCTCTCTCTCTCTCTCTTTCACTCTCTCTCTAAGCCTTCCTATTCTGCTGTATTCTCTCCCTAGACCTACCTGCTGTTTCATCTTCTTTCTATGTCCCTCTTGTCCTATTTTTGTGTTGAGACTTACATGCTCTGTCAAATGCTTATCCCTCTTGATTCACACTAGTCCTATTATCCAGTACACCCAGGTCTCCAGCACACCCAGCTACACCCAGGTCTCCAGTACACCCTGGTCTCCAGCACACCCAGCTACACCCAGGTCTCCAGTACACCCAGGTCTCCAGCACACCCAGCTACACCCAGGTCTCCAGTACACCCTGGTCTCCAGTACACCCAGCTACACCCAGGTCTCCAGTACACCCAGCTACACCCAGGTCTCCAGCACACCCAGCTACACCCAGGTCTCCAGCACACCCAGCTACACCCAGGTCTCCAGCACACCCAGCTACACCCAGGTCTCCAGTACACCCTGGTCTCCAGTACACCCAGCTACACCCAGGTATCCAGTACACCCTGGTCTCCAGCACACCCAGCTACACCCAGGTCTCCAGCACACCCAGCTACACCCTAGCCACTCACCGTTTCATTACTCTGACCACCACAGTCCCGCAGCCAGAGGTCGGGGGTGATGAGGCCGCTGCTGGAGGCCGGCTTGAGGTCGTTGAGGTGGGGGTGCATCTGAAGGTGGGCCTCCGTCTCCCGGCAGAAGATTTGCATCTTGTACTGGTTCAGGCACTTGTCGCTGCGGAGGATGGCCAGAGGTTAGACACGAACACAACAACACACCCTTGCACACTACCTACACCCACACAAACAGAACTAGCTGGAGGGGCTGGGAAGAAAAGGTCGGACACAAGGTACCCAATAGAAAATTAAAGCCTTGAAGAATCAGGTAGAGAGAAAGATCTGTGGTTGATATCAGCAGCAGCGTATTAAGGCCAAATGATATCATCATTAAGGCCAACTTAAGAGCTGTGTTTAGAAATCAAAATAAGGAATAATTAGAAACCTAATATACACCACATATGGCAGACCAATTCTGGAATATGCAGTGACAGCATGGAGCCAAAATTAAGCATAAAATGGAGCTGGTGAAATTCTAGAGGCATGCTACCAGACTAGTCGCAGAAGTGAGAGGTATGATTTACAAGAAAAACTAAAGGAATTAAGCCTAATTGGAGGAAAAAGGAGTTATTGGAGACATGATTACCACAATCAAAATTCTCATGAAAATTGAAAAAAGCAAACAAGGTTAGATTATTTCAATAAATGGACTACAAATTAGGTGATGAGGAATATATGCACCGAAGTGTGTAAATAATTCAGACGTGTAGGTACACTCAAGAGTTTACTTTAATCCTGGATCATGTTCAGGACTAAAGTATACTTGCTGGTTGGTCAGTAAACTGTTGTGGTGTCCTTAACAACCCTCCAGTGGTTGCCAAGCCGTAAAGCCAACACCAACCCCCCAACAAGGAAGAGGGCAGGAGGCAACAGAGCACCCAAATGTGCCACAGAGATGTAGCTATGAAAAAAAAGACCAAAAGGCTTCAAAATCTAATCACCAATAGATTGAACATTGAGAGGTGGTTCCAAAGAGCTAAAACTCAACCCCTCCCCCCCCCTCCCCCTCAATCACACACACAAAAACCAACGTAAATAAATCCCCTCCCATGACAAACTATTCCTTATTATACTCCTCTGGTGACATTTACAATACCATTACAAGAACAACAAAATAAAAAGGATTGCAGTCAGCATAAAATTTAAATATTTATATAGCAGAAAATATAGAAGAGTTTTCCCTGATGTGTACAAAATATGCGAGTTAGAAAATGTGAGAGAAAAAAAGGCAGAGAAGAAATGTGAACCTCGGTGAGAATGAGCTCCGGAGGTGATGAGCAAATAAAGGGATATTTAAATGTGCAAACTGGCAACGGGTGTTGTGTTGCCAAGTCATTATGAGTTTTGTAATTAATGAAACTCATACGGTTCTTCCCCCCTCCCCCCCCCCCCCCCCCCCCCCCTGTCTCTCTGTCTCTGTCTCTCTCTGTCTCTCTCTCTCTCTCTCTCTCTCTCTCCTCTCTCTCTCTCTCTCTCTCTCTCTCTCTCTCTCTCTCTCTCTCTCTCTCTCTCTCTCTCTCTCCCTCAGTATCGTACCATTCCCACATTGCCCTAAACGACACTTGCTCACTAACGACGACCCAGCCATCCTCAGGCATCTGCTCTGGCCACACACGACACGACCTGGCGACAGTCTCTTGTTGTCCACGCCCGTTCCCTCCCCAGCCTCCTGCTCAGATGGTCCGTCAGTACGTGGACCGTCGTGGACCGTCGTACACACTCCCCACCCTCTCGCTACAGTCGCTAACACCCCCACCAACAATCACCCCACCCGTACCATGGAGCTACTCCAGACACCATACAACGATGGAACAGGTGACGTGGTCCTCGGCCGACAATCACCCGCTCCTTGACGCGCGCCAGAGATGGCGTCTCTCAGATCACCCGACACCCAAGGATTAACAAACTAAGACTTTTTCTAATTGTAATCGAAAGCGAATGAAGCCCCCGAATCAAAATAATTAAAATGGAGCGAGGGTATCTTGGTTTACATATTCAATTAAACCCGTAAATGAGCGCAGTGTAACGACTCCAGGAAGCGGGGCGGTGTCCGCATGGCTGGCCCCGACTCTGGCTTCCACCTCACACGATATAATCTTGGCCATGTTTAATTTCTTCATTTACTCTTGACACAAACCCGCCTTGACAAGCCCCCACACTGACCTCAAGCTAGAGCAGCGAGCCAATAAAGGACAACTTATCAGTAAGGTTTATACAGGAACCGTAGACCTTCTGGGCCAACTTGTGGTCGCCTGGATGTGAACCATCTTTTCGCAGACGTAAACAGAGATACAGACAGAGACACAGACACGCACGCCAGCCACAGGCTCTCCCTCACCTACAGAACTGGAGCTGGTGGTCGCCGTCGGTGAAGTCGACGTAGGTGACAGTAGGCCTCACGTGGCGGCACCAGTCGCAGACTTTACTCTTCTTGAAGGAGGCGCGGCGGCACTGGGTGAAGCACACCTCGGAGCAGAAGTGCCTGTCGCCGCTTGTGGTGGGTAGTTGGAAGGCACTCCCGCCCCTCTGGCCTCCGCTGGTACATACGCGTCCGCACCAGGAGCACAACACCAGACCCGAACACCCGCCTCCGCCCACAACCGGACCTCCCCCGCTATCTGTAGAAAAAAAATATTAATAAATTAGTGAGTTTTGAAATTGCTCAGTTGAAAAATACAAGAAAATACCATGCTTGCAAGAGAAGATTTGTTTATGCGAGACTCCTGCTAGTAATTTGTTTCTGGAACCGCGACTAGCAGCCTGGTTAGGCCCTGGTGCTATATCTTATACGGAAATACCTCCTCCCCATAACCTCTTCCTCTCCTGTCTGCCGTCCCTCCTCACTTATAAAGTAATCTTTTCTTCATATATATATATATATGTCGTACCTAGTAGCCAGAACTCACTTTTTGGCCTACTATTCAAGGCCCGATTTGCCTAATAAGCCAAGTTTTCCTGAATTAATATATTTTTTCTAATTTTTTTCTTATGAAATGATAAAGCTACCCATTTCATTATGTATGAGGTCAATTTTTTTTATTGGAGTTAAAATTAACGTAGATATATGACCGAACCTAACCAACCCTACCTAACCTAACCTATCTTTATAGTTTAGGTTAGGTTAGGTAGCCGAAAAAGGTAGGTTAGGTTAGGTTAGGTAGGTTAGGTAGTCGAAAAAACAATTGTTTCATGAAAACTTGGCTTATTAGGCAAATCGGGCCTTGCATAGTAGGCTCAGAAGTGCGTTCTGGCTATTAGGTACGACATATATATATATATATATATATATATATAATATAATGTGTATGTGTGTGTGTGTGTGTGTGTGTGTGTGTGTGTGTGTGTGTGTGTGTGGTGTGTGTGTGTAGAGCCACTGCGGCGTCCAAAGCTTCCGTACCTCAGCAGAATGGCGTCTCCAGCATCTGAACAACCTATAAGTATTCTAACAGCCTTCAGCGCACCGTCAGGCAACGTCTAAGATCACATTAAACGGTCTAGAGCCTACTGACTGCCAGCACCATTAACCTCATAATCTACAGGTTTCAATTTCCAGCAGAGTTTAGGATTAAAGAGCCCATATGCTGTAAGACACATTAACTGGACATAGACCCGTGGGTGTGAGCCGCTGTTCTCCGTCCAGTGAGCAATTATAATTCAAATAATACTAATTCACTGTGTATTGGGGCAGCCAGTGTACATATATAAATATACATGTTAGGCTTGTATCGAGGGTCACTTCTAGGGTCGACTTGCTGACCTTCTCCAGGATGCAGCCCCACAACAAGCTGAATAACTGCCCTGGGCACCCATTTACTGCTAGGTGTAGAATGGGCATTGCGCCTCGCCCAGGTCGGAGCCACCGTGAGGGACGCGGACGCGGCCGTGGCATCTCGGCTTGCTGGGGAACGTCAGGTTAGGACCAATGATACGCGTTTTAATGATGTGTTTAGCCTCTCCTAGCGCTGTATGACAGCTGGTAAGTGCTGAGGGCTACCCTCTCCTAGCGCTGTATGACAGCTGGTAAGTGCTGAGGGCTACCCTCTCCTAGCGCTGTATGACAGCTGGTAAGTGCTGAGGGCTACCAGTTGGCTTCAGAGCGGTGGTATGGCTGTGATAGCTGCCTAGTAATCAAACAAAAGCAATGTTAGAATTCTAAACACAACAAGAATCTGGAGTGGGGAATCTTTATTTTGTTCCAACCAAGCCTTTGTATCACCCTTTACACTGAGGTTACCTGAAAGTGGTTTACGAGGATCAGTATATCCGTGGCCCGGTCTCTGACCAGGCCTCATCTATTGACGACCTGATCAACCAGGTCGACAGAGATCTGGCTTCCCAGCGGTACACATTGGGAGGCCATTCAGCGTTCTTTAGGGGCCCGTGGCACACACAGGTGCCCGTCCAGTGACTCCTAGGGGCCCGTGGTACACACAGATGACCGTGTGACTCCGGGACCGTGGCACACACAGATGACCGTCCAGTGACTCCTAGGGGCCCGTGGCACACACAGGTGCCCGTTCAGTGACTCCTAGGGGCCCGTGGTACACACAGATGACCGTCCAGTGACTCCTAGGGGCCCGTGGTACACACAGGTGACTGTCCAGTGACTCCTAGGGGCCCGTGACACACAGGTGACTGTCCAGTGACTCCTAGGGGCCCGTGACACACACAGGTGACTGTCCAGTGACTCCTAGGGGCCCGTGGGTGTTGAACGCCGCTTCACGCAGGCTGAGGAAGGAATGGCCTACCTTGAGGTTACCTTGAGGTGCTTCCGGGGCTTAGCGTCCCCGCGGCCCGGTCGTCTCCTGGTCGTCGACCAGGCCTCGTGGCCTGGTCGACGACATGACAGCCGAAGGTCTTGCAAGCTATTTACCCCAGGGGTGTCAAAGATGTGGCCCGCGACCCACTCCTTGCTTCAACTAGTAGGACGATGCCAGTTGACGGTAGATGGGGCTTACACTCCCATCTATACTCTACTTTTGCCTCGGATGTTTGTGTATGAGAGTCTAGCGTTGTGCAGCATAACATTACAACTGGGTGACATCATGGATGTCGTCATGAAGATGGTGAACTTGTACGAGCACGAAGTCTTAACCACAGTTCAACTGCGCTGTGGAGGAAAATGAGATCCCTTACACCGATGCTCGATGATCCAAGGGCCAGATTCACGAAAGCACTTACGAACGTGTACATCTTTCCTCAATCTTTGACGGCTTTGGTTACATTTATTAAACAGTTTACAAGCATGAAAACTTCCCATTCAACTGTTGTTATTGTTATAAACAGCCTCCTGGTGCTTCGCAGCTCATTAACTGTTTTATAATTGGAAACAAAACCACCAAAGTTTGAGAAAAGATGTACAGGTTCGTAAGTGTTTGCCTAAGTGCTATCGTGAATCTGGCCCAGCTCGAAGCTGTACTGGAGCACTGTGATGAACTGTGTGGTGAAACACCGATTTTTAATGAACAGAAAGTAAAGCATGTGAATGAACTAAAGATAATGACTAGGTTCGATATCTCGCAGTCGAGGTGGATATCACATATCACTTAAATTGCTTTGAGCACAAAGATGCAAGGATGCTGTATATTAGTGAGTCAGTATAGAGTTTTATGAATCTATTCCAGTCTTTGAGATGAAACTCCAGCTTTTTGAATGGCAAATTGTAGCCCTGAAATTTCTGCAAGACATACATACCTGAGCTTTATGTTATTGGTACCGAAACACAAGAGTACTCCAGTAAGATTTATATAAGTTAAGGCATAAACTCCACGCACGGTTTACAAATGTTAAATACCTCATGAAATATTTCTCCAGTTCTTGGAACTCATTTCTATCGGTATTAATAGTCATATAATTTCTTTACTTGAAAATAACTGAGTTACAGTGTGATTCTCTAAATTTCTGATTTCTGATTTCAGTGTGTAGTGTGATTCTGTTTTGAGGATAATGTTTTCAAGTCTTGATGCTGACAAGCATATCTGGCACTAAATTATCCCAGGATAGATTTGACTTTTAAGATTACGTCTGCGTTAGTAAGCCCATGTCTGTGAAAAGTATTGTTTTCTGTAGTGACCATTACAGATATGATGTACACTGCACAGGTTGCTGTAACTCAAGTGATTCCCTCCACTTGACAAGTGCCAGGAAGCAGCAGAATCCGGATGTAAGTTAATTATTATTAACAATAATTTGATAGAAAACCCACTGGAGCTCTGAGGTGACGCGAACCCGGGCTCAAGGCATTACCAGTCGCATACTCAACCACTGTAACACCACTTACCGCGTCAGTGGTGGTAAAGTATGCGCTTGGCGATGCTTTGGTCGCTGGTTCGCGTCACCTCAGAGCCCCAGCGAGTTTGCCCATTGATATATAACGTTAATGTGATTGTCTGTGTGGTATTGTGATAATAAATATAAATATTATTATTATTATCATCCTCTTACTTTCTATTACCAACCTTCACAGCTTGATAAGCCCAACACCGAGCCGTAGCGTGCAGGACAACACGCCACAGTCACCTGATATGCAATTCATTTGGATTCAATTAAACTTGTAAAAACGTGCGGGAAAGAGCTGTAATAGGAGGCAGGTACGGAGCAGATGTTATACGGAGCGGCTACTTAATGTTCCCGGGGTTCCTTTCACCTCCGGGAACACTGTTCAGGGTTGTGTATCTTGTTCCTGAGCGCGGGGGGTTCCGTAGTTCCGTTGAATGCTTGCGGGGACGGAGATGGGGGAGGGTGGCGGAGCTTGGGTCCCGCCTATCAAATATCCTATCAACTGGTGTCCAGGTTCCGGAGCCTTTTTGGGTTTATCATATATGCACGGATTGTGTGTGTTCCTCACCTTGCACAAGTGCTCAGTGAATATCTCACCTTGCACAAGTGCTCAGTGCATGTCTCACCTTGCACAAGTGCTCAGTGAATATCTCACCTTGCACAAGTGCTCAGTGAATATCTCACCTTGCACAAGTGCTCAGTGCATGTTTCAAACTAAGCTCCAGGTGTGTGTGTGTGTGTGTGTGTGTGTGTGTGTGTGTGTGTGTGTGTGTGTGTGTGTGTGTATGTGTGTGTGTGTGTGTGTGTGTGTGTGTATGTGTGTGTGTGTGTGTGTATGTGTGTGTGTGTGTGTGTGTGTGTGTGTATGTGTGTGTGTGTGTGTGTATGTGTGTGTGTGTGTGTGTGTGTGTGTGTGTGTGTGTGTGTGTGTGTGTGTGTGTGTGTGCGTGTGCGTGTGTGTGTGTGTGTGTGTGTGTGTGTGTGTGTGTGTGTGTGTGTATGTGTGTGGTGTGTGTGTGTGTGTGTGTGTGTGTGTGTGTGTGTGTGTGTATGTGTGTGTGTGTGTGTGTGTGTGTGTGTGTGTGTGTGTGTGTGTGTGTGTGTATGTGTGTGTGTGTGTGTGTGTGTGTGTGTGTGTGTGTTTTATTATGACTTCTTTTCTGTGTGAAAATAAATATGCTGATTTTTTTTTAAATTAAACCCTATTATATATATATATATATATATATATATATATATATATATATATATATATATATATATATATATATATATATATATATATATATATATATATATATATATATATATATATATATTTACAATCATTTACGAA